TTTCTACTAAGCCGGATATAAACTCAGACAAAAGTTGGATTTTGAAAAGTCAAAATTCAACTAACTCCTTGGTTTTGTAAAAATTTCGTTAGCGTTTCCCATAGAGAAAGTAGGCTTCCAAAATTTATACAAAGAATTGAACTAACTCCTATGCCTCCAACATGTGGCGAGTATCTAAAGCAACTACCTATCAAAGTTGAACCTGAGACTAAGTAGAGTTCACACTCAGCCATAGGCAAGTCTGTACCACAATGGGTAAGTACTCTCACCAAACCCCAAGTAAATTCCTCATAAGATAGTTCGTAGAACCGTCAAATGATTTATCCCTTATACCCAGCTTACATATGACATGGCGCTAGACCATTCAGCTTAGAAACAATGTCTAGCATGCCTTAGAATATACACTAACATGTTACACACCTACTTTTCTCTTCTTTGGACGTGTGACTACACCATTCAGCTTAGAAACAATGCCTAGTCCCCCTGAATTGTTTAAATATCCAAAGTTTAATAACTTTTGACTTATCTTCAAAAGAAAAGAAATATGGGCAGGGGACTGTGGCATTCAACTTAGAAACAATGCTCAACTTGCCCAAGTTACTTCCAATTATACTTTTACTTTTCCTTCTCTTCTTAGTGATATGGCTCAACGTTGGACCATTCAACTTAGAAACAATGACCAAGCTGCCAGTTCACATGCAAATATAAATAAGGTAGTTCGAGTTATACTCAGTTTACATTGTGAGTGGTTTCAAGCTTAAACCATTTACCTTAAAAACAATGCATAGCCTTCCACAAAATCTTTCCTCAAAATGAAACAAGAGGATGAACCATTCACCTTAGAAACAATGTTCAGTCCATCCCAAATCACTCAAAGCATGAAGTTGGTCCTTTCAACCCTACCTCAGTTTCAACCCTACCTCAGTCAGAAACCCCCAAAAGAAGCAGATAGACAAAGCTATTTAGCTTAAAAACAATGCTTGGTCCCAAAGATCAATCAGTCAAACCCTCTGAAATAAATACAGCAACCAGGCACAACCACTTGTAAATGCACAACGGTCACCGCCTAGGCATTCAACAACAACGCATTTATCTTAGCTGTCAACCGCCCTCCTTTTACCCTCGCTGTCATGCCTGGATACACGGCAACACCTCTGGTTGTTGATTGCAGCAGCCCAGGTAGGTGTAGCCAGGGTAACGATCCATACAACCCACACAACAAGACCGTCTATACACAGAAACTGCAGACAAACGCAACAGTCCGCACCCGCATACAGCTCCTTGCAGTAACCTCCCGCTATTTACCGCAGCCTCGTACTGCAGTAGTAATTGGCTAGTGAGTTTCCCTTCAAGTCCGAGATAGTCTGCTCACACCAGCTCTGAAACCTCTCTAGTTAAATAGGTGGTAAGTACACCGAGGCAAACAACTTCTCCATGTCATTTACGATCCCACAGTGCGAGGTGCCCACAACCACCATTCAACCTCCTTAGCCATATAGCTATTCGTGGAGCCTACCAGGTAGCGGGGCAACGGAAAAAGCCGTGGTGAAAAAACATATGGGTACGCTACGTTGACCAACATATGAACGTTTATATGTACTTCCTTTGCTCTGTCTCCCCGCTTCTCTTCATCGGCACCCGACTTTACTAACTCACGGATACATCCCGACTAGGCAAGCATCCACTTCCGCACAGACCCTCTCTTATCGTCGGCGCTCACAATCCTTCGCTACCTCTCCGCTGCCTGCAGTCCGTCCCTGAGCTCGACGCTCCTTCCGCTAAGTGGGTGAGGTGAGGTCGAATCTATCGCTAGAAGGCAAGTAGGTACATCACCATATTTGCTCTAATATGAAATTTCCCCTCTTGCGCAAAATCCATCCATCAACCTTGGAATCTGGGCTCACCATTGGATTCACCCACCACAAAAACCCCTGTTAACCCCGTCTCTCGCTCGATCTCGCAAAGAAACGAGCGGGATATTTAGCTTCCGATTCCTGCCATACCCGCCTCTGAGAACCTCCACGCACCTCCCTTTCTTACCGACTCTTAGTCTACTTACTTTTTGCCCAATCTAACCACAGATTCGTGCTCGCCCGGGATCAAAACCTCTACCTACCACCTCTACTCGTCGGATTTCACTAAGTAGCGGGTTAGATCGAAGATTCCCAACCTCTCCATATCCTTCTCTGCCTCTACGCCGCGCGGCCCTTTCCCATCGTAACTCCAAAACTAAACCGCCTCCCTCCTTTCCGACGTCGCCGCTAGCTTCGTCGTGCCCAAAAACCCTTGGATAGGATCTCCTCTCGCCCAGTTTCATTCGGAAACGGGTGGGACGGGCACCCTTTCTCCCTTCGTCTTCACTCCCACCTCGTCACGTCTTCTTTTTGCCCCACATGCACTTGGCGTAGACTTTCATTCGGAAACGGGCGGGACGGGCACCCTTTCTCCCTTCGTCTTCACTCCCACCTCGTCACGTCTTCTTCTTGCCCCACATGCACGTGGCGTAGACTCCCATTTAGGTTCGTCTTCCACCCTCCCCGATACTAACTGTGTTAGACACCACAAAAGTGTCGATCGACACAGGTCGCAAGCCAGTGGTCACAAAAGTCATATGCAACAGCTCCTCTGTTGGATTGGTCCGCCCAAAAGGAAAGGGCAGCGCTGAAACGTGTGGCCTATTCACGGTCGTCAGGGCTACTCCGGCCTCTCGACGGGTAGCAGGGCGCGGTCCAAGCGGAGTGGTCACGATGCAGATCTCTGTGGTAGTGGCAAATGTTCGAACGGGACCTCGAGGTCCAAAGTGGGGAGGGGTTCCACACGGTGTCGAGCACGTCGGTCCCGCAGGGGGACCATCCCGGTCACGTCACGCAGGATTAGTGCAAGACTTTTTATATCGCGGTGCAATGGAGCTTCGTCACCGCTCCAGCCAAGTGCATGTCAGGTTCACCAGTCTGCCATGGCAAAAGCTGATGGAAGCTTATGGCACACGGCTGACCATGTCGTCAGGGAGACATCCCGAAATGAATGGCCAGATTGAACAGATGAACCGTTTGTGCCAACAACTTTTGCGTATGTATATTAGACCCGATCAGATTGATTGGGATGAGAACTTACCCAAAATTGCGAGTGCATATAACAATAGTGTTCATACTTCCACGGGAAGAACCCCGAATGCACTTCACAAAGGGTGGAAGCCTAAACATCCCATTGATGTACTGAACCGGGACCAGTTTCTTAGGTTGCCCCCAGGGACCCGAGAATATGCAATCTTGTTTCAGGAAGACATTCAGAAAGTAAAGATAATATAAGGAAAGCTCAACTACGAATGATTGAACAAGCCAACAAGCACCGTCGACCGTCAACATTCAAAGAAGGTGATCTGGTTTGGGTAAAATCTAAAGAGTTTTCACTAGAAGAAGATGTCTCCCAGAAATTGCTACCTGTCTATTTTGGACCCTGCGAAGTTCTCAAGGTAATTGGAGATGCAGAGGGACCGTCTTATCGAATTGATATTCCCCCTCATTTCAAAACATACCCTGTCTTTCATGTGTCCAAATTGTTGCCTTACGTAGAAGGAAATGAGTTTCCTCACAGACCCTCTATGATTCCACCAGATATGGATGGCGGATACGAGGTCGACCGGATCATAGAGCGTGGCTACTTCTCTACGGGAGGACGTGGACGACCTCAGAAGCAGTTCAATGTACATTTTAAAACTCAAGCACCATCTGAGGACAGATGGTTTAGTAAACGAGAACTACTTGAGACTGCTCCTGATATTGTCGCTGCTTATGAACGAGGGTTAAAGTTTTAAATATTTCTGCGGCGGAACTCAAAAATGGGCCGGCAGGAATGTAATAACCCTGTTCAAAAGTAGCCTGGGGCCCAGAACTCAGCCCCAGTCCACGCAGACCTGAGAAGGTCTGCGCTGGGCTGTGTGACCAAGACACACCCAGGCCTGAGTCTGTCGAGCATGGCTGTGTGACCGAACGCTGCACACAGGAAATTCAAGAGTCAAAGTCAACTGTAGAGTCAAAGGTACCGCACCCAGGCCCTGGGTTGGATACACTCACTTGTTGTGCGCAGGTACCCAGACAGCATCCAGGCCGGAGGGAATTCGGTTTCAGGCCGATCTGAGCCCTCATTCGCATTGAGAGCTGGACGGCGGAGGGATACAGCATCCGGGGCCCAGACCCCACGTCAACACTACATAAGAGTTGACTTCCTGGCTTTGACATTCATTCATTCTGTCTTGCGCTGATGCTGACTTCATGCGTTGACTTCGACGCTGGCTCAACGCTGCTGGCATTGTGACTTGGCGAGGTGCTGCTAGTCCGGCATGGTGGCTGGCTTGCTCCTGTCTTCTTGGCATGCTGACGTGGCAGCTGCCATGCGCCTTCGCTGATGTGGCTGCTGCCACATGTATCATTGGGCTGACGTGGCTGCTGCCACGTGTTCTATTGAGGGGACTACGTAATTGGCATTGCTGTTCTGTTCGTCGTCGCTTCAGGAGGAGATCAGGACTGTGGAGAGTTCGAGGATACGTACCTGGTGGTCTTCATGTCGACATTGCTCCAGATGCTGATGTGGAACTGATTAGACGTGCCACGTGGCACATTGAGGATACTTGGATACTCGTTCAGACTATTGATTGTTGAGGTGGCAGTAGAGGAGGGAGCCCGAAGCAGGAGTGGGCATTGTATTTCCTCTCCTTTGTCTCTTCTCCCTCCTCTCTCTTCGTCTGTGTATGATTACCTCACCTCATTCTGTCTGGTTACGATTTTGACTTTTAGTAATCATCAGCTGATGGACATCTATCTGGGCTTGCATTGTTGACAACTGTCTCACGATCTGGGTTCATTACATAAACTACTATGTGGTCTACAGCATGACATTGCAATTTCGTTTTCCGCCTATCGCTCTCGCTCATTTTCCTTGTAGCTATAATAGGCAAAGGAGGATGGGAGAAGGAAGCTTGGGTGTGTCAGCGAAGAACTCACCTATTACACATATCAAAAACGCCCATTACAATCCCGACTGGTTGCCATGCAACCATGACGCGCGAGCCAGCAAGGACCTGCCAAACAGTGGAGCAAACAGGGCTCTGTTTAAGTGATGACCGAGTCGAGTTGACAAATTCATTTCACATCACCGAAAGAAAAAAAAAAGAATCCAAGCTATTGATCATCTTTATTCACCTGCATATTCCTGTGCATTATCCAAATTTAAATCCTCATCAATAATAACGGTTCTGCAACCACCTTCAGACCCTTTGGACACCAAACAGTCCATTCCCACAGGCACCAAGTGGAAGTCAGCCCGCATTTGCAGTTGAAGTTGAAACCACTTTCGTTCGTCCCAGAGAGTCGCTGCACTCAAGAACCTACTGCCTTCACCCGAACAAAACCATCCCCGTCATCACCGTATCGGACTGGAAAAATAGCTTGTAGACATTCATGATGAGGGCGGATTGTGTTGAGGGGAAGATTGTGTTGGCCGGTCGAACATCATCATCACTGTATCAAACTGGAATGATAGCTTGTAGACATTCATGACCAGGGTGGATTGTGTTCGGTGGAAGATTGTGTTGGCCGGTCGAACATCATCATCACTGTATCGAACTGGAAAGATAGCTTCCAGACATTCATGACGAGGGCGGATTGTGCTGGGGGGAAGATTGTGTTCATCACTGTATCGAACTGGAAAGATACCTTGCAGACATTCATGACCAGGGTGGATTGCGTTGGGTGGAAGATTTGTATTGGTGAATCCTACCCATTGTCAACATTAGCAGGCATGTCCAGTTGAAGATGCCAACCAAAATCACAAAACGGCTCTCATCTGTTGCGCCGGGAAGCGCCAACCGAAATCACAAAACGGCTCGTTTGTCACAACATACTAGACTAAATGACGTGGCATCACATGACAATCACAACTTCTTCCTCTGCGACATAAAGCAGAGCATCTTCATAAACTGTTGATGTATGATGGTGCACTCAGAACGTCCTACCAGACTCATGGATGCCGTGACTCAACCACGTTGTCAGGAGACACCAGACTTTTATTCCCTTTTCGCTTTTCGTATTTTGGATTTTGGATGGCTTTTTGTATTTGGTCAGAAGACTCAGAAGTATGTTGGAGTGTGTTCATCGCTTGGTCAAAACAGCCATTCTGATTGTTTTTCTGTCTCAACCGTTCCTGTTATTCTGATATAATGATCTTTCCATGGCCGTAATTGGATTCCCCAGATCCAGTGCGAGATTCGGGAAGCAGCCTCACTTCCCCTTGGAGTTCTAGCTGCCCCACACATCGTCTCACAGTTCGACTCCAATCCTTTTCTTTTTTTTTTCCAGCAAAATCTCCTCTTTTCCATACCCTGGCTCGTTCTCTGGCTTCGGATCATTCCACAGTCACTGTGTCACTTCCTCACTTGCAGGCACCTCTCACAGATGTTTCACAAGAAAAAAACAAAACAAAAGAAAAAACGAATGAATCTTCAATCTAGCAGCTACCTGAGCTACGGCGCCAGTACCGCCACACGTTTCCAGCACCAGGTATGTCTCTCCCCACACTCACAACCCCGATCCACACCACACAGATGCCACTAGCACCCAAGGACCACCCTGCGCCACACCCAGCTCACAGCGGAGCAGCTCGGCTATGGCTGCCCGCTCCTTCCTGCTCGCCCGTGACAGCGTGAGTGCCAGCCAGCACGCAAATAGCGCAGCAGCGCTCTCGCAGCATGCAGCCAGCACCCGAATGCTGAATGAGGAGGCAGGCCGAGGCAGGCCCTTCCCTATATCGAAGTGGCCTGCCTGCGTCCAGTCCAGGAAGCTTCCAGTAGGCCCCGGTAGGCACAGGCCCAGACGTCACAAGCAGGCCCAGGGCCTGATGGTTGCATGTGCCCAACTGCCCTTGACCTGCTCACGGCCTTTTCCAAGCGTCTGGCCCAGGTCACCATTCAGATACATTTGCAAAATATGGCCTGGGCCTGGGCGCCTTCAACCAACTGGCGCAGCGCAACTGTCTGAATTTCACCAGTTGCGGGGTACACTGAAAATCGAGGCCCAGATGGCCTGTCGCGCCTGCCTTCACTTAGGGCGGCCGACATGCTGCAAAAAGGGCCCCGAAGGGGCTGAGCGGGCGTAGCCTCGCATAATTCTTTTTTTTTTTTTTTTTTTTTTCTTAATCATGGTCCTGGCCGTTCTACTCGAACCCTATCCCTCTGCTAGGACCATGACCCTACAGCACCTGGTGAAAAGCCTGTGTATTAGTGTGGAATCTTATTTATTTATATATTTGTTTATGTGGGGGTATGAGCCCTCGGTATACCTGTAAGTGGCCCCTACAGCAAGCATGTGCACGCCCTAAGTAAAGGCGCCCCCCCCAATCTCGATGAGGCCTGAATTCATCAATTTTGAAAAGCCTTGGTGGGCGCCAGACAGTTGCCACACGCCAGTTGGTTACATCCGCCCTGCTCACGAGAATCAGAAATATCCATGAGCCTTCTAGGCTCTTCCAGCAACGCAAGGGAAGCAGGGAACACCGCACGTTTGCACCAGGGTGCTTGGGCACGCCTGACCAAAATCAGTCCCAGGCCACTATCTGAATTGGCCTGGGCACAGACACTTTGGCCCAACCTGAAGTTACTGGGCACGCGCGAGGCCAGGCCAGGCAGCCAACCAGCCAGGCCACTTTGCATATAGCAAAGTGCCTGGCCGAGCATCAGGCATTTGGGCACTTGAAGGTGCAAGTGCAGCGCTGCTGGAGCGTGTGCTCGCGCCTGCTAGCTGAGTGCAAGAACACGAGAGCGGTCGCGGGAGGAGGGCAATGCATGAAGGCAGCGCCATAGCCTGGCTGTTACATGCTGAGCCTGCACACGGGCCCAATTTTGGGGGCCCGCCGGTTGCTGGGGGGCCCACGGCTGGCCCTTAGGCCGCAGGATTTGATTCGAGACATCCATTTATTTATTTCCTGTCCTATTTTTGTCTGTTCAGGCGTCGTTTCGGACCCGCAGTCTCCAAGGCTGCGCCTTGGGCCAGGTACGGGGTCTGGACGTCCGGTCGGGACCCAGACCCAGTAGGCCCACGTTTTGGGAAGGACCGTAGGCACACAGAAGCCAACCGGACGGCCAAGCGCTACTTATAGCTGGGCCACGACTGGGCAGACACACAGCTCGCTTCTTGGGTGACACGCTGCTGGAGCAGCGCTGCGACACTACAACGCTACGCTAGGAGGTATAGGTAGAGGTGTAGTGTTGCATACTGTAACGTGCAGACCAGAACAAGAACCGACCTTTCAATACAAAGTATAAGATAGCACAGCGGAAGACTTAGATACCAGTGATCCGAACAATCAATGTTG